TCCCGCGTTCTATCCGCTGGTCTTCATACTTACCTCTCCTGAAGCGGTTTTTCTCCCCCGGTTTACTATCTTCAGGGAGATCACTCATTCATTTCCTCTACGGTGGATGGCAGCTGTTTAAAGAAAATCATTTCGTTCCACCAGAGGTCCAGCATTTCGTTCTTTGTGTTTTCGGCAACCGGTTCGGGTGTCCGAAGTCCGAGGGTTTAGATATGGACGAAATAGGAATGTGACGAAAAGATTTGACATCGGGAGACCGAGTGAGGTACAGAAGTCACAGGGTGGGGTGTATAGGGTGGGGGGTAACAAGGTGAGGGACATAGGGTGCAGGGGGGATACAGGGTGGGGTACACAGGTTGGGGTACACAAGATGGGGGGGGGGGGAGGGCAATGGGTGGGGGACACAGGGTGATGCTCATAGGGTGGGGGATACAGGGTGGGGGTACACAGGTTGGGGTACCCAAGGTGGGGGGGGGCAATGGGTGGGGGACACAGGGTGAGGCTCATAGGGTGGGGGATACAGGGTGGGGTACACAGGTTGGTGTACACAAGGTGGGGTGGGGGGCAATGGGTGGGGGACACAGGGTGAGGCTCATAGGGTGGGGGATACAGGGTGGGGTACACAGGTTGGGGTACACAAGGTGGGGGGAGGGCAATGGGTGGGGAACACAGGGTGAGGCTCATAGGGTGGGGGATACAGGGTGGGGTACACAGGTTGGGGTACACAAGGTGGGGGGAGGGCAATGGGTGGGGAACACAGGGTGAGGCTCATAGGGTGGGGGATACAGGGTGGGGTACACAGGTTGGGGTACACAAGGTGGGGGGGGGGCAATGGGTGGGGGACACAGGGTGAGACTCATAGGGTGGGGGGGATACAGGGTGGGGTACATAGGTTGGGTACATAAGATGGGGGTGGGGGCACAGGGTAAGGGACATGGGGTGGGGGGATACAGGGTTGGGTACACAAGGTTGGGGAAGGGTGCGGGTACCACGACAGACTGGACTTTGGCGAATTACTGCTCCAGCTGAATGCTGTCTGACCACAGCATCAGCTTAACATACAGTCTATAACAGCTTCAGCTTTACACACAGTCTATCACAGCTCCGGTTAGATTTATTACAGCTTTTTTTGGTTCGACTTCGTTGTAGATTCAATTGTTGACTACCACAATACAGCTTCAGATGTAGAATACCTCACTATACACCTCAACCTGACCACATCATTGGATTAACAAACGTATTGCAACCACAACACAACCACTACCCCAAACCAGGGTATATAGAGCACCCATTTTTTTCTATGAATACCACACGATTGAAAAAATTAACAATACATTTACTGGCACTTTAATAATTTATAAATACATTCAGTACTTTTCCGATTAACCATTTTGAACTGCCAAAGTCGTTTTAAAACAAGACAGATTGGAAATTCACAGAAAAGAAAAACGAATACTTTTAAATAAAGAAACACGAACTAAACTAGTACAGTCTAGATAGCTAAGATACTTCAGTTAAATAAATTAAGAGAAAAAAATTTCAGTGGAGTTTCCAACGACCTACCTGTACTAACTTATTTTTTTATTTTTGTGTGTTCTTTAAAAAAAAATATTTTTCATTCGTTTAGTTTGAATAAGACAAAATAGATGGAGAGTCACAACTGTTTCTAGACTTTTTTTTTTCTGTTTTGCATTAGCCGCTTAATAAATCTTGAAGTTAACGGTTGGGTGCGTTTTTTTTGTTTTTTTGCTAGGAATTTTTTGTTTTTGCTAAAAAAAAAACATACACTTTTAGCGGGTAATGAGAATATAGATTAGTTGGTAAACTTTAAACGTGTATTAGATTTATTTTCTAAACGGATTCACACAACAACAATACTTTAACCAAAACTAACACCGAACGCTTAACCAACGATTTAGTCGAAGTACAAAAAGCTAAGTTTTATCCAAAGTATTGAGCAGTCGAATCATATATTGTTGATCTAAAAGCTAAAGTACAATAGCATCATGCTTTGGCAATCCTAACCCAGTCTTTTATTTAATATCGCGACAGCCCATACACAATGACCATCGCTGACCACAAACATCTCTCTCATCCACTAAACCGACCTTCTGTTGGTCATTGAACCCCATTCGGCAAGACCGCCCCTGACCACAGGGGCGGTCTCACAACTAGAAAGAGCCCTGACTACAGAGGCCCCATAAGATTAGACCAACTCTAACTGAAGACGCCCCTTACAACTAGACCGCCCCTGACAACCGCCACCCCCCCCCCCCCCACCCAATGTCCCATCAACTAGGTCAACCCTTACAACTAGTAAGACCGCCCCGGACCACCGACGCCTTATCCAACAAGACCCCCCCACCACAGACGCCCCATCCAAAAAGACCCCCGTACCACCGACGTCCCATCCAACAAGACCCCCCTACCACCGACGCCCCATCCAACAAGACCCCCCCCCCACCACAGACGCCCCATCCAAAAAGACCCCCGTACCACCACAGACGCCCCATCCAAAAAGACCCCCGTACCACCGACGTCCCATCCAACAAGACCCCCCCCCCCACAGACTCCCCATCCAAAAAGACCCCCGTACCACCGACGTCCCATCCAACAAGACCCCCCTACCACCGACGCCCCATCCAACAAGACCCCCCCCCCACCACAGACGCCCCATCCAAAAAGACCCCCGTACCACCACAGACGTCCCATCCAAAAAGACCCCCGTACCACCGACGTCCCATCCAACAAGACCCCCCCCCCCCACAGACTCCCCATCCAAAAAGACCCCACTACCACCGACGCCTCATCCAACAAGAACCCCCTCCCTACCACCGACGCCTCATCCAACAAGACCCCCCCCTCCCTACCACAGACGCCCCATCCAAAAAGACCCCCCCACCACAGACTCCCCATCCAAAAAGACCCCACTACCACCGACGCCCCATCCAACAAGACCCCCTCCCTACCACCGACGCCTCATCCAACAAGACCCCCCCCCCCCACCACAGACTCCCCATCCAAAAAGACCCCACTACCACCGACGCCCCATCCAACAAGACCCCCCCCCCCTCCTTACCACCGACGCCCCATCCAACAAGACCCCCACCACCACCACCGACGCCTCATCCAACAAGACCCCCACCACCACCACCGACGCCCCATCCAACAAGACCCTCCATCACCAACATTTCCGTCTGCAGCTGGTCTAAGACAAGTGTAATCCACTTGTAGAAAATACCTGACGTGCTGTTATGGATGCTGGCTATAAATCAAAACTTCGGGGGCAGTCGGTACTCTATTTATAACTTGCTTGACCTAATTTACTTCCCTCGCCAAGCGAGTTGCGCTAATTAAATAAAAATAATCCCCAAAAAGAAGAGATACGAACGACAAAATTGTTTTTTAAAATGAATTCTTATTTTTATAGTTACCATGTTATTAGAATAACAGATGTCGTCCCTCTTTGATTTAAATAAAAAAATATTAAGCTCATTTATTAATACGAATCTGGATGCCCAGTCTGTATGTGTATACTTAAATAAATTTAAATTAAAACAGGAATAGTTGATTTTTGAGATTATTAACTAAAAATACCAAAAAACTAAAAATACAGACTTAAAGACGTATGACAGTTATAATTTAACTGTCGATGACACCCTTGTAAAACTGTCCATGATGCTTCCAATAATCTGACTATAACACTCTTATAACACAGCTTATGGCATCCTCATGAAACTGTCAACGACACCCTAAATACAGTGCTTATGACACCATAATGACACTGCTTATGACACCCTAAATGAAACTGCATATGACACCGTTAATGACACCCCTGTGACACCTAAATGACACTGCCAATGACACCATAAATACAGTAACTATGACATCCTAAATGACACTGCCAGTGACACCCTATATACAGTGACTATGACATCATAATGACACTGCCTATGACACCCTAAATGACACTGCCTATGACACCCTAAATGACACAGCATATAACACCGTTAATGACTGCCTATGACATCCTAAATGACACTGCCTATGACACCCTAAATGACACAGCATATAACACCGTTAATGACTGCCTATGACACCCTAAATGACACTGCCTATGACACCGTTAATGACACCCCCTTGCGACATGTGGCTGGTCTTACAAGCCGCCTTTCAAAACTCGGCTCATAAAACTTCCTTTAGACACGGGGACGTCACCGTTGGCCTTAGGACAATAACAGGGTTAATCCCCCTTAAACAAGGACATTAACTCCTACGTTAGACTTCGCGTTGTTTATTGTTGGTGTTTTTACCAGTAACATCTTGAAAACTGGTTTACATTTCTTCAGACTACCAACCACCATGATGTTGTTTTAAGGTGCGTAGACAAGTTAACACTGAGTGTACTTTAATAATATTTTCAACGTGTAAGAAAATATGTGTAATGTAAGAAAGTATATCAAAATTGTATTTTAAAGTTTAATAATTATGTTGTTAAATGGGTAGGAAAGTATGTATAAAGTGAGTGTCTGAAAAATGATGCGTCATATAGTTTTTAAAAAATACTTGGAAGAAAGTTGTTCCTTTAAAAGATGCAGGCCTTTTTAATGTAAGAAAGTTGTTCCTTTAAAAGATGTTGGCCTTTTTAATGTAAGAAAGTTGTTCCTTTAAAAGATGTAGGCCAATTAGATGTAAGAAAGAAAATCATTGCATTTTAAAAAAAATTATCACGCTTGATAAGACCGATCCTTTATGAATTATCTACTGTTTATGTCTGTTTATCTTTAGGTATTAAATACCAACCTGGAAAACATTGTTACGTAACTGAGGTTTTAAATAACTATTATTGCTGGTTTGGTTGTTTAAGAGATTTAATCAAGATAGGCGTATTATTAGACGCGCGTGGGTATGGGCGATAGTAACACGCCTAGCGCGTCATTGACTGGAGTAGGAGTCAGCATGCTGGAGTCAGGAGTCAGTAAACTCAACACCGTACTCACCCGTGCACGTGGGACTGCATATGACGGACTGCTGCTGCTCACCCTCGCACGGCAGGCCGCCGTTATAGGGGACGGGGTCAGAGCAGGAGCGGACACGCTTCTGTCGGCCTTTACCGCAGGTGGTGGAACACTCAGACCAGTCAGACCAGGAGGACCAGGCACCGTTCACTGTGGGGAGAAGGAGAAGTGGTGACGGTCAATGTAAGATGATGGCGTGGTGGTCAAGATGTGATAGACACTATGTGATGGTCAAGATGTGATGGACACTATGTGATGGTCAAAATATGTTAGCATGATGGTCAAGATGTGATAGACACTATGTGATGGTCAAAATATGTTAGCATGATGGTCAAGATGTGATAGACACTATGTGATGGTCAAAATATGTTAGCATGATGGTCAAGATGTGATAGACACTATGTGATGGTCAAAATATGTTAGCATGATGGTCAAGATGTGATAGACACTATGTGATGGTCAAAATATGTTAGCATGATGGTCAAGATGTGATAGACACTATGTGATGGTCAAAATATGTTAGCATGATGGTCAAGATGTGATAGACACTATGTGATGGTCAAAATATGTTAGCATGATGGTCAAGATGTGATAGACACTATGTGATGGTCAAAATATGTTAGCATGATGGTCAAGATGTGATAGACACTATGTGATGGTCAAAATATGTTAGCATGATGGTCAAGATGTGATAGACACTATGTGATGGTCAAAATATGTTAGCATGATGGTCAAGATGTGATAGACACTATGTGATGGTCAAAATATGATAGCATGATGGTCAAGATGTGATAGACACTATGTGATGGTCAAAATATGTTAGCATGATGGTCAAGATGTGATAGACACTATGTGATGGTCAAAATATGTTAGCATGATGGTCAAGATGTGATAGACACTATGTGATGGTCAAAATATGTTAGCATGATGGTCAAGATGTGATAGACACTATGTGATGGTCAAAATATGATAGCATGATGGTCAAGATGTGATTGACACTTTGTGATGGTCAAGATATAATGGTATTAGTGATGATAAAGTTGTAATATATTTTGTGATGTTCAAGGTATAATAAGACTTAATGATGGTAATGCTTTGGGGGATAATCATGTCTCAATGATAAATGATCAAACATTCCACAAGTGGACTATATAGGCGAGTATATCGCTTAACAACAGTACACCACACTGCTATTATGTTCTGTCAGTTCTATTTGTACTTAGAAAAAATACTTTACTCCTCTAGACAAAAGCAATGACTCTTAATAAATCAAATTGAAGACCGTGCAAAATTTAAATATTACAAAAAAATATTTAATAACATGTGGATAGAAGTTTTCCCTTAAGTTAAAAAAAAATATATTGTGTGTGTGTGTGTGTGTGTGTGTCTATTGAGCAAGGCCGCCAACAAAGACCGGATATCCTATAGGACAGGCGAGACTACCCCCGGCAGATTGCTTGGGAAGGGAAACAACTCCGATGTAAGAAATTAATTAGGAGCTGTCACAGCTGTTCTGAGAAAACAACAAACAGGGGAAGATAATTCTCCTCGCTCTTCCGGTGACATCTTAAAACACGAACCGATGAAATGGGAATAATAGAAATTTGTAGTATGTGTGGATCAATTTAAAAAGTTGTTTCACTTTTTTTTTCTTCATCTTCCATAAGGAAAGTTATAAGGGATTGTTCTGGATATAATTTAAGTTGCTGGTCGAAAAAGTTTGGAAAATCAACTAAGAATATTGAAGCATATATTCAATAGTATTAAAAAATTGTTAAAATCAAAATATTTGATTCATGCTGAAGTATATATTGCAAAAATCTGATCTTCCATAGGAAAGTTTTAAGGGATTGTTCTCATAGGAAAGTTTTAAGGGATTGTTCTGGACATAATTTAAGTTGCTGGTCGAAAAAAAGTTGGAAAATCAACTAAGAATATCCAAGTGTATCTTCAATAGCGTAAAAAAATTGTTAATATCAAAATATTTGATTCATGTTGAAGTATATATAGCAAAAAACTGACTGTCAATCTATAAATAGAATATTAAATTTTTTTCCACGTTAATTTTCAAGTGGAGTAAAAAAAAATTTTTTTATAATACTAGACCCAAGTATGTAACAACCCACTGTAATTTTTGTAACCCCCCTTAGATGAAAGATAAACAAGAATCATTCAACACCAAGTGCCCACCTCCGCTTGACACGACCCGGTGTAAGACCCGGGAAGAATCGAGACGGTTGCGCAGAGATGCCTTCTGCGCAGCGGCAACAATGGCCGCATGGATTAACGGGCGGTTGGAACCTATAATTAAGCGCTCCTTTGACTTTGCGACTCCTGGAAGCCACGAATAAAGAAAGCCATTGAACACGGCAGAGCAATTTTTTGACAGGAAATACCTTAAGAACGCTCTTGTGTTGAAAAAATTTCAGACCAGGTGACGATTGCAAATTTTTTTAAAATGCATAGGCCTACGCATATATATATATATATATATATATATATATATATATATATATATATATATATATATATATATATATAATATATATATATATATATATATATATATATATTGTAGGTATGTGAGGAGTTTATTGTAATCTTTGCGTTATTATTTTTAATTGACCAATTATTCCGCTTTATGAGCTGTAGCGAAATAATAAATTATTGCTTATCGTAGAATTCAACAAATCGCGGGTAACAGGAAAATCCCCCATGGATTAGCGGCCGTCAGGAGCTTATAAAAAACAACTGGTGTTTGAATAGGTGCGGACGGTAATGAGAGAGGCCAATGTAATTGTTCTCTGCCGTCTTTAAATGGTTGTGTATTGTGGGGGGGGGGGGGGGGGGAAAACACTGGATCTACGCAAAGAAACGAGTTGTGATTTACCACGAGAGATGTTGCAATCGGTTATGACAATGTCAGTGTCGTAATGGATTATGGTGTGGTTGAATGTACTTATTATTTCAAATGTGGGAAAAATAGGTAATAGGTTTTTTTTCCTAGACTGAGCGGGGGGGGGGGGGGGGGGGGGGGGGGGGATGGAATTTTAAAAATTGTAACGTCTTGGCGCCATAATAAACGTTAAAGAGTAATTAAAAATTGTATTCGGCTTATTATTTCTTTAGTATAATTATTTTTTCTTTTACACCAGAAAATGGGCCAAGCATTAAAATGTTGGTGGTCTCGGCTTATGCGCTGATGGTGTGGTCAGTACCTTATGTAGTGATTGTGTGGTCATCACCTTAACCAAACCACCTTATAAAATGTAGTATCTGAATATAAAATCGGTGCTGGTGTAATAATCAGTGGCAGTACCTGGTATACACGGGGTGAATGTACTAAGAGAAAACCACTTTTCTTATAACAGTTGAGAGGGAAAACTACTTTGTTGTATCATATATTAGAGAAAGCCACCTTCTAATATCAATGAAGAGAAATTCACATTCTAGGGTCAAAGAAGAGAAAGTCACAATTTTATGTCAATAAAGATAAAGCCACCTTTTATGTCAATGAAGAGAAAGCCACCTTCTAGGGTCAAAGAAGAGAAAGTCACAATTTTATGTCAATAAAGATAAAGCCACCTTCTAGTGTCAAAGAAGATAAAGCCACCTTCTAATGTCACTTAAGAGAAAGACACCTTCTAATGTCAATCAAGATAAAATCAAGTGTGTGATCTTATAAAACTTTACTCACCAAAGACAGTGAGCGTGGCTGGATTACTCAGCCTGCGCGTGGCGATGTTCTCAGCCCCGCACGTGTAGTTGCCGGAGTCGCTCTTCCTGGCTTGGTTGATGATGAGGTGACCCTCGCTGGTGATGATGTAGTTCACGTCCACTGCAGTGATGATGTCCGTTGCCATCTTTCATCCAGAATACCTGGGGTGGCAGAAGATATGATAGGTGTGAGGGTGTTTGGTGAGGGTGTTTGGTGAGGGGTGTTTGGTGAGGGGTGGTTGGTGAGGGGCGGTCTGGTAAGGGGTGTTTGGTGAGGGGTGAGGTAGTGAGGGGTGGTTGGTGAGGGGTGGTTGGTGAGGGTATTTGGTGAGGGGTGGTTGGTGAGGGGTGGTTGGTGAGGGGTGGTTGGTGAGGGGTGAGGGGTGGTTGGTGAGGGGTGTTTGGTGAGGGGTGAGGTGGTGAGGGGTGGTTGGTGAGGGGTGGTTGGTGAGGGGTGGTTGGTGAGGGGCGTCTGGTAAGGGGGTGTTTGGTGAGGGGTGAGGTGGTGAGGGGTGGTTGGTGAGGGGTGGTTGGTGAGGGTATTTGGTGAGGGTATTTGGTGAGGGGTGGTTGGTGAGGGGTGGTTGGTGAGGGTATTTGGTGAGGGGTGGTTGGTGAGGGGTGGTTGGTGAGGGTATTTGGTGAGGGGTGGTTGGTGAGGGGGTGGTTGGTGAGGGGTGAGGGGTGGTTGGTGAGGGGTGTTTGGTGAGGGGTGAGGTGGTGAGGGGGTGGTTGGTGAGGGGTGGTTGGTGAGGGGGTGGTTGGTGAGGGGTGGTTGGTGAGGGGTGGTTGGTGAGGGGCGTCTGGTAAGGGGTGTTTGGTGAGGGGTGAGGTGGTGAGGGGTGGTTGGGTGAGGGGTGGTTGGTGAGGGTATTTGGTGAGGGGTGTTTGGTGAGGGTGTTTGGTGAGGGGTGGTTGGTGAGGGGGTGAGGGGTGGTTGGTGAGGGGTGTTTGGTGAGGGGTGGTTGGTGAGGGGTGTTTGGTGAGGGTGTTTGGTGAGGGGTGGTTGGTGAGGGGTGTTTGGTGAGGGGTGTTTGGTGAGGGGTGTTTGGTGAGGGGTGTTTGGTGAGGGGTGGTTGGTGAGGGGTGGTTGGTGAGGGGTGTTTGGTGAGGGGTGTTTGGTGAGGGGTGGTTGGTGAGGGGCGTCTGGTGAGGGGCGTCTGGTGAGGGGTGTTTGGTGAGGGGTGTTTGGTGAGGGGTGTTTGGTGAGGTATATCTGGCTAGGGGCGTTTGATGAGGGTCATTTGGCGAGAGCGTATTTGCGTTTAGTGAGAGACCTTTGACGAGGGGCGTTAGGTACAGAATGAATAAGCAAGGTAGAAGGCGCTTGGTTTAGATTTCTAGCATCCGCGAGAGGGATGCTTGGGTGGTGCTGTAAATGAATGAAAATATTGTTAGACCACTCATTATTCGGGCGGTGATGGACTCGCCGGCAGTGAAACCGATTAAGGTTAAAGATAACGGTTTGTGTTGGACAACAGTAGAATATTCAGGTAGGTACCTTGGCTAGTTTCACCTGGGGGATTTGAGGGCGGGGAGGGGGCTGGGGGGGGGGGGGTAGTGCTGGGAGAAGAATGTAAATAAGGATATACACATTGGTGGAGAAGTGCTATGATTATAATTGGCAGATTTTAAAAATTAGGAACAAGAGCGATGAGTGATTTGTCCTGATTGGGCAGGTTCGTTTCCGGTTTTCTTATTTTTGTTTTGTTTTGCCGAGTCTGATTACAATTTTTATCAGTAAAAACCTATGAAAGGATAGAAAAGAAGAGATTACAGCAACTTAACTATACGATTTGATAGAATCATTTACAGAAAGTAAAAAACAGACAGCTGACAACTAAGAGAGTTTGACTGCTTATATGATACCAAGCTCTCTCGCGCAGGATTTGATCTACAGTCCTGAAGTAACGAAACCTAGTTGAACATTTCGAACTTATTTATAAACAAAGTCTTTTAGAAACTCGACTTAAACCACTGACACAGTAAGCACAGAACCAGATATTACTGTGAGTTAGATAGGGGGTGATGTGAGATCACCGTGAGCGGTAGATTGAGGGCTGGGGTGGGGTCGACCTACTCGTCAACACCAGAACGCGTCAGGAATTTGCAATGTTTACGTTTTTTTTTCAAACCGGGTGTTGGGTTGTATAGAGAAAACAAACTATCAGTCTGACCTCATTCTATCATTCTTCACATTCAAACACACCCTAAAAAAAAAAAACGAAATTTTAAAAAAATAAAAAATTTCAAGTTGGCGTCGACAAATATTTCACATTTCCTTTACCACGAGGGTAGAGAGTAAAGGTGATTCTTATAGTAATAGATTATGTTGCTGTCAAACTTTGATGGGGGAAAAAGTTGGTAAAGATGAAACAAGACAGACGGCGTAGCATCATAAATTTGTAATTCGAGTTTTATTGGTTACATTTTTTTAATTTAAAAAAGTGAACTTTCAGATTCTTTGTCTAGAACACGCTTTGCCTAGAAATTCTAACTTGAAAACCCCACACACATATACATACATCCGGCACCAATACATATTAAACCTCGTCCTCATCACCCCCCCCCCCCCTGCAGATACATCCCACCAGCCCTCATCCCAGCATTGGTATAATAAATATAAAGAGACAGACAGACAAACACACACACACACACACACACACACACACCGACTCGCATTCGCATACCAACTGATTACTCATACACACACACACACAAACCTAATCACACTCGCACACCAACCGATACGCACTAGCACAAAAATAAACTCACACTCGCACGTAAGCTGACACACACTCGTACACAAATTAACACACTCCCACACAGACTCCCCACTCACAGACATAAGGGCCCAAACTACCACACACACTGTCTCACACTCACACACGCACAAAAACTGTCTCACACTCACACACAATCCAACTCACACTCGCACACAAACTGTCTCACACTCACACACAATTCAACTCACACTAACACAGAAACCGACATACTCCCATACACACACCCACACTCCCCCACACACCGACCCACACGCGCAACCAGCTGATTTCGTGGCTCCACACCGCTTGCCCTACGAGCCAGCAAATACATGACCCCCCCCCCTCCCCCCTTCATGTACCCATATTACACCACAGAGCGACTTCCTGTCCCCTAGGTACAGACTAACCCCGTCGCTCCCCCCCCCCCCGACCCACGCAAACACAAGGGATGAAAAAAATAAAAATAAAACAAGGTATCATAGGTACAGTGTTTATATAGGGAGCTGGCGTCACTGACTCGCATACATTTACTGACTCCGTGACGCACACCGCATCAAACCACGGGTGTTGGTCCAACGCTGAACTTTATGCTGCTTTAAATGAACGCTGCCAGTTTTAGGGGGCGAGGCACCGGGTTCGAAACCCGGCGACGATTAATGCTGTAAAACACTAATTGCATTCCGTAAGTTTTGATGTATCTTCTTGTGATTACGCCGATCCTTGAAATGTGAGTTTCTTTACATCTAGACGCGGATTCAGGTTCGGTAATTCTCCTTTACTTAAGTTACTTACGTGCTAAGTGTAAGATTTAGGGTTAGACTGATTCATAGTGTATTATTAGAGATTCTGTAGTGTATTATTAGAGATAGATTTGTCGTATCGGCATTAGACATAAGAAGTGGCTTTTTTTTAATATTTGTTACGTTTTTTTTCCCACTTAAGAAGTGTTAAAGCACGGAATTTTCAGCATATACAATAAATGTGACGTATATTTCCTCAGAAATAATACAACATACATGCATATTCTCTGACATATACAGTATATTCCTTCACACTAAAAAATTATATTACTATAACCTATCCCGCCCCCTGACAATTAGTACTTAACTGTTATACTCCTACCCCCACCCCTCAGTTTACCACCCGGGGTAAGACTTTGCTTAACGTACGTGTTAACATCCCTCTCTTAAGCACCGACCCTGTTCTGCGTGGATGCTTAAAAACCTTGCACAGCCAATTTAAACCCCATTATAATAAACAGCTTTCCGCCTTGAGCTCTATAGCAAGGATACGCTAAAGTAGACTCAAATACTGTACCAAAGGCAAGAAAAAGGGGGAAACGTTTAACTCAGATACGAAGGGGTGGGTAGGTAGAAGGAGAGTCTTTAGATATATTTACCTTCTATCTTCTATCCCCCCCCCCCCCCCTTTATTCATCCCTTATTTTGTGGTTTCATGATGTAAATCCCATTACAGAAAATGATCCGCTTTTGTTAATTTTTTTTGGAGAATTAGAAATAACATTGTCAGAAAAGTGCTTGTTTTCTAAACTGTACCAAAAGTGTGCGGGCTTCGAACGGTAAACAAACAGACTTCCGTATATCCCGTGAAACTCACGCGGACGACCGAGAAAGCCGACCCGTGCATCGCACACGTCTGCTGAGGCGGGCGATGACAAGTTTGAACACCGTGTTTATTTGTTCACTTCCGCCCTGATGGCTTTGCAATGCCTGCTGGGAACTGTGATCGATTTTTATAAGTCTGCTAAGTCTTGCAGAATAGTCTATATATGCTAGAGTGGTAGTATACAGTTTGTATCTGATAGATTTGCAGCATACAATATATATCTGCTAAACTGGTAGTATAAAGAGTATATCTGTTAGACGTATAGTGTGCAGCATATGGTGTATATCTGCCAGGCTTACAGCATATAATTTATATCTACTAGACTCGCAGCATATAGATCTAATTTGTATCTGCTAGTTTATATCTGCAGCATATAGATCTAGTTTATACCTTCTAGGCTTGTAGCATATAGACGCAGCATATAGTTTATATCTGCTATACTCGCAGCGTACATTTTTATCTGCTAAATTGATAGCATACAGGTATACCTGCTATAGTAGTAGCAGGCAATTTATATCTGTTTTACAGGGAGTATACAGTTTATATCAGCTAGACTGGTAGCATACAGTTTACATACATGTGCTAGACAAGGTAAATAGCTAACTGTATGTGTATGCGTTGACGGCATGTGTAGACAGAATAAAATAAAAAGCGACGAGAGAAAACGATTCTGGAAAGTTTACACCTAAAAACAATAACTCCAGTGTTGTTATTGGAATGGTAACCCCGTGGGATCGTTATGTGATTTGTTATCAAAGGACAACAAATCGA